AGACAGCCTCTAGACAATACATTCCTGCAAGGAATTGTAAGGGAAAGGATTGGATGCCACTTTGTTAATGAAACTTAAGGAATAGATTGTCAGGCATACCGGGAGTTTCAGATGTATTTCTGAATTCACATCTGTGGGAGTTGTGGATTGTCACAGTTCATTTGCTTTTGTAAAATATCCACAATTTGCTGACAAGCAACTTCAAAAGTCCATTCAGCGATTGGGTGGGTGGTGGACCCCTTTCGGCATTTTTAAAAGTGTTCTTTTGCTACTGTAATATAGAGCTGGTGAAGAAAAAGAACGAATGCTAAAATAAATAGTAAAATATAAAACACTTCATACAAAGTAATTTGATGTGCCATCAGTTGTACAATTACTTCAATAAACATATACATGTTATAAAGGGAAATCAGAAACAAAATGCTTTCAGTTACGGAACTTGCAAGCACCCATGACTCCGTGTTGTTAATTCCTTTGGGAAGTGCCATTTTTAATTTTTTGGTTTCTTTTCAGTGTTGTGCAGGTCCTTGCAACTGCCTTGTTTTTTAATTTATATCAGGAGTCACAGAATTAGAAGGAAGGCATTTGAAATCACTGAAAACTGCAGTTAAAAACAATTAAGTACCATTATTTCTCTTAAATTTAGGAGCTGAGGTTGTCAGTCAAAGCAATATAAAAATGTTGTTTTAGTTTGTTTGTTTGAAGTAGCCAGATTGCCAGTGTAAAATACTTGAGAATGCTGATACATTTCTCAGAGATGGGCGCATAAGAATAAAGCTGCATTCTGTATATTATGCCCCACATGGGACATTGATGAAGACCTACACAGTGCATAATTTCTTTTAAGTTCTTTTAAGCAGTCTTGTGTTATGAGTACAATTAAAAGTCCATCAGTATCCCAAGTACTCGTGCATTATCTACCCTGCCACACTTCGCTAATGCGTCTTATCATTTAGGTTGCTAATACTGTTCAGTGTAAAGACAGTCTTTCTGAGGTAGACTGTTCAAGTTCAAGGACAAGTCTTTTTCTTACGAAATGCATGACATTCAAAAAAAGACAACAAATAAATACTACATGTACAATATGTAGCAATGAGGTAGAAATGGTTATAAAGAACAATGTCTGAATACACGTCAGATGAAAAAAGAAAAAAAGAAATGAATATTCTCTAGCAACTGTATATAATCCACGAGGAGAAACACACACCCACACCCACACACTCAGGAGAGAGAGAGAGAGAGAGGGAGACTGAAATAAACTTTAGTTTTTTTTTTTTTTTGTTTTTTTTTTTATATCATAAGACAACAAGAAAGAATGAATGTGCTCTCAACCTTGGTGTACCACAGAACCATTTTATAAATATTTAACATTCTATAGGACTGATTCATATATTCTCACACAACTCTGTGGCAAGGCTGACCCATGCTGCCGACATTCTACATATCACTGAGACAGGGAGGTGAAATTTTCCTGCTTTCAGTCTAATTGTCTTTGACAATTGCAGTGCCTAGTGCTACACTGCTTGTGTTGTATTTAAAAACAGGGGAAAGAGGAGAGACTTGTTCATTAAAGATGCAGCATCCCTGGTTCACACAAATGCATCTGGCAGGTTCAAAATCGAATGTCAACCAGAGGTCTTAGCAGAGTGTGAGCTCCAGTTTGTGTGTTGGTAAGTCCCAAGTACAGCTGGTTTTGAATTCTGAAATACTAATAGCTCCAGGTTTGCTAATGTGCTTCCTATGAAAACTGGCAAGTGACTCAACAACCGAAGGCTTTACTTTTCAAAAGAAAAATACATATTACAACACTTTGAATTGTCAAGCGGTCATGTGCGTCTGCACATGTGAAGAAAGGAAGTAACCAGTTGCTTCTAAATAATGTAAAATGGATGTTAAAGTTCAAATAGGTGGTGGTAAAAACAGCACACACACACACACACACACAAACACACACGCTATTTATATATATATATATATATATATATGTATGTATGTATTAGAACTTTATCTTAGTGGCCTCGATAGTTCAACAAACTGTGTCCCTTTCGCTTTGCAAAATACAGTTTCAAAAATCACGATAGCCAATTCTTGTTAAGAAACGTGAGAATGGGATTATAGAAATATCTTTCTGTTTGGAGTTGGACACATTTCTAGAGAAACACATTCTAAATGCATCTGAAATATATTTTCCAACCCACAAATATATGTAAATTTACAAAGACCTATTGTAGGAATTAATTTGGACTTTTTTGGATGTATTCTTCTGAAAACTGCATAGCCAAGTACTATGCAACCCATGTAAATTGACCTTGCTATTTTACATAGCATAGCCTCTGGATAGCTTTTATCACTTGCCCAGATGGTGTTTGGCCTATGTATTTTAGTGGAATGGTTTATTTTCTCCTTGATAGGTTTCAAATGCACAAGAAAACATTATACCCGTCTATCTGCATTTGAGTAGAATACAAACTGACTAATAGATAAACATTCTGTGTGAAAGTAAATAGCCTTAAAGTATACTGCCTTCACATTCCATTGATCAGCTCGGTCAGCAAAGTTTTCCATATTGTCACTAATGTTCTAAATATTTTGGTGAGAAGCATGCCAGGAGTGTAGGGTATTTCCATTTGTGTCACACAAAGGTCATTACGAACTACCTCTTGAATTTCTATTGATCCTTCCACTGAAGTGGTTTCCTTCACTTCCTTTTTGTTCCCGTTGGAAATGTTATTTCAGTGGTGAAGAAGAGAATTAGGGGCTGTTAAGTGGACTGGCTCAAATCCCCCGGCCAGACGGCAAGGGATTTGGACTGGCTCATTACCTTACCTTCATTAGCAGCCTTCTCCAAATTCTTAGCAGTCAAAAAGAGGCCAAGAGGACGAAGCCTGCTCACGCAGTTGTCCTATCACCGATTGTACACATTCACTTCTCAAGATGTGGCACCCCACCCCCACCCCAAGCTCCAGAAGGGACGGTCAGAAAAGAGCTCATTATTAGGCGAGTCCATAGAAGAACTCATAATGCTGCCATGCAGAATCAAAGAATCATAGGAGAGCACTCTACTCAAAGGTCAGGCTTATCTCCCCCAACAGATCTTCATTTCTTCAGCATGCCCAATTTCCTAAGAGATCAAATCCAAGAATTCATGAGGCTAAATGAAATTCACACAAGACTTCAGCTTCTGCCTAAATATATGGATTTTTTGACCACTCCTATCTCAAAGTAATTTTGAAGTCACTTAAAGCTAAAAGCCAATACGGATGACTTTTAATTTATTTTCAGTTTTATAAATGAGTGTAAAACACAATAGTGCAGTCATATTTGGCATTAACTCATACTAGACACAAAAATGTGGGTCAATATTGGATTTTCCAAAGTTGTCTAAATAAGACTGGGTTTGTCAAAACTTGCCAGTTGCTTTCAAGTGAACACAGCATGTTGGCGGAAATGAAATGTAATGTCTAAAAGACAGAAAATAGGTCAGCACTGTGCAAAAGTAAACTTGTCAGTGAGATCAATATGAACCTACAAGTTAATGAGGATATTAGAATTTTCTTACAATAAGAGATGTGCAGGGTAGAGCCAGAACACAATTATAGCATTTGTTCACTTGTGAATAGCAGAGGACATATTTAAATATCATTTTTTGTATCCTTAATGAAAGGCACTGCTTTTTAATATGGAATATTTATATGTAAGCACAGTTTTAATTGCTAGAATATCACAGTAAATTAAATTTTGGTTCATTTGCTCAGTTTTTTTGCAACATGTAAAATACGAAAAAAGGGGAGTAATGATTGAGCATCATAAAATTTCAGAAATATGATGACGTCCTTCATTAGCTTTCTCTATGTTAAGTGTTCAGAGAATTTGACATTGTGAATGAAATCAGTCAAAATTTTTGAAGAAAAAAAAACAATAACAGAAAGAGCTTTCTTGGGGCTTCTCATTGCATTTATTTAAGTTTTTAAAAAATGTACACCACTTTTTGAATACATAAAATGCCAGTGCTTTGCAACAGTTTTGTTACTGCATCTCTCAACTAAAAAAAAGGAAGGAAAAAAAAAAAACAGGAAAAATACATTCAAAAAGCCAGGCTGTTCTGCTTATGCACGGGCAGTGGCTCTGGAAAGCTACAGCCTACACTGTCTGTTCAGAGGCATTGCCGAACGTCAGTTAGCTATCAATGAAAAGTTGCACATAAAGCATTAAAGGATACAAAGAACAACTTGGGAAGGAGGAGCAGGAGAAGAATGGAAAATTAAGAAAAATACTACATATTCTAGGGGTGGGGGTGGACTCAGGCAGAAGCAAGCATGAAGACTGATGTTTTTGGAAACTAGATTTATGGGAAAAGGGAGAAAACAAAGTAACGTGCTTGACAAGGTAGAGTTGTGTGTGTGTGCGCATGTGTGCGCACATGTGTGTCCACTTCCAATTTTCTGTTTTACTCTCCAAGAGAAATATAACAAAACTGAGGTAGAAATGAATGTGGGAGCACTATAGCCCAGAAGATTTCAAAATGAGAAGCAAAATTGCACTGAGAAGAGAGGAGTCAAAAAGGAGAGGGGATGTAGATGTTCTTTGTGGATATAGAGAAGTTGGTTGGTTGGGTTTTGTATTTGTTTGTTTTTGCTTGCTATCTTCTGCATTCTATCAAACAGCACGGCAAGCCTATAAGCTAGATTAGTGAATAGAAGGACACCATTCCCAGCAGTTTGAAGAGAGAACTCGCAAACTACCACCACCACCAATGCAGTAAAAGGCAGTCCTAGTTTTTAGGTACTGTGACTTTCAGGGTCCTAAGCAGGTCTTGTGGCCGAGTGTTCTAGACACTAACATGAACTGAATAAGTAGCTTTCCATTAACCAGTGTACCTTTTAAGAACATTTTCACTTCATTATCAAGGAGCAATGTACGAAGAACTCTTGCAGTTTTTGACATAAAGAATTATTCTGCTCTGGTTAATTCCCCATAATTAGTAAAAGAATCTTTTAAAAAAAAAAAATCCTTCCATTTCTACTTTAAATTGTAAATATTCAGTTGTATCACACGTCAGTATTTTTCCGGATACATTCAAAGTAATTTTCCTTGCTATTTTCCAATTGTTGAGGTAAACATACATTTTTAATATAAAGTAACATTGAAGCCTATCCCATTACTCTCAGCAGTACATAGTGCTTTCAACACATTCCTTTGAGGTACTGTACAAATCACAATCGCTTTCCTGAGTTTTTGCAGACAAGAACATTAAAAGAAATGAACCGCAGAAATTAAGGTCCAGATTACCGTTACCCTGTTTTACCTGTTCTTAGCTTAATACTGCAGAACAGACAGGATTGAGGAATACTGTTGCTCTTAAAATGGCAAAAATCTGGTTTTCTGTCGTCACACAACCGTTCATCTCTTTAGTCCAATAATGTTTGAAGTTAAAGCTCTTTATATTAGCACATGCCACCAATGTAATTGTGAGGCAAACAAAAAATAAAGCACCACTCCAGGCACTTGACAGCAACTAAATCTCGAGAACAGCAGAATGGAATCAACACACGAGGTTCATGTCCTTCTGAAATCAACACACTTGCACCTTGCTCCTTGGTGAGTGTTGTCTAGCTTGAACTGAACTGAGCGTCAACAGATGCTTTCTGTCCTCTGGGGCTCTCAAATCAGAAGCTCTCATTTGATGCGTTTTTTTTTTTTTTTTTTTCCTCCAAATCTACCCTGACTCTAAAGATGCAACTCAATCGTCATCTTCCCCAGTACCCTTTGCGATTTAAACACTACTGGAAAGGGGCTCTAGACCCTATGTAGCAGGTTTTATGCGTGTGTGCCAACATTCATTACATTTTTTTTTTTAAAGAAGTTATCACTGACTGCAACCAAACATTTTGTTCCATTCAACATACATATCAAGCTCTTTTTGAGATATGCTAGGCTGAATCTTGCAGAAAGCATTTTCAAAGTCTTGATATGTAACGGGCCTCAACTGGCTGGGCATGATGGCTGAAAGGTCTGTGGCTGGCATGGCATGGAGGGGGCCCACCGCTGCTTCCTGACACAAATGAGCCACGTCTAGTCCAGAAAAGCCTTCTGTGCGCTGGACGAGCAGTGCAAACTCCTTGTCATTGAGACAGTAATTGTGCTGTGAGAGCAGTTGTACTATTATCTGGTGCCTCGCTGTGCTGTCAGGAAGTGGGATTAAAAGTCGTTTCATGAAGTACCTCCGAAGAGATTCATCTATTTCTTCTGGTTTACTGGTGGCACAAATTACTACGATTTGGTCCTCAGCTGAAGTTAGTACAGTGTCCAGCTGCATCAGAAATTCCGTTCTCATCCGATTGACTGGACTGTGTTCCTCGCTCACTTGAGAAGAGAGAAGCATGTCAATGTCACTGACAAAAATCACCGAGGGCTGGCGACACCTGGCCACGAGAAAAGAGGCGTGGATAATTTTTTCTGCTTCTCCTAACCACTTGGCAACGAGTCCAGAACCGGCGATTTTGAAAAACGTGGCCCCCAGCTGACTAGCTATGCATCGGCCCAATAATGTTTTGCCTGTTCCCCGAGGTCCAAATAAAAGGATGCTCCGAGGTGAGGCCGTGAGTCCACTGAACGCATCTGACCTCAACACCGGCCATAAAACTTCCTCTTTAATGACAGCCTTTACCAGGTCGAGACCAGCAATGTCGTTCCAGTCCACCGGGGGTCCTTGGGTGATAATCTCATTGGTTACCAGGTCAATGAGGTGGGTGTCCGTATTCTTCAGTTGCTCGTCCACAGAGTGGTTGGATGAGGTAGCTGCACGGAGTCCAGGGCCTTGCATTGGGTGAGAGAGGAGCTGCCTGTGCTCGTCCCCATGCTCACTCATTACCGGCGACGTGTACTTCCCAAAGGATTCACTGGATCTTGATCCCAATGAATTTTTAGCAGTACTGTAGGAAGGAGGGGTCAGAGCCCTACTGGACTGGCTGCTGAATTTCCTTTGCTGTTCAGAGGACATTAGCTGCTTCGTTGGCTTAAATGCCAAGGACGATGTTTCAGCACTTCTGTCAAAGCCATTCCCCCGATTTGAGTTTGAAATGCTGTTGTCGGGCATTCTGTACATAGGACTCTGCGTGGATCTCTGTTGGCCATAGCTGTAATTTCCGTAACTGGAGTCCATATCTCCTTGCCCTGCCATATAGAAAGCTTTCCTTTTGAGGGAACTTGCCGAACTGTTTGTCAGAGCCGAGGCTGCAATGGGTGTCAGACCATGACCCTGGTAGGTGTAGCCAGGAACAGTCGTGGGGGGCAGCGGGGTAGGAGCGGGGATTCCTGAAGGCAGGTACGCTGAAGGGGGAGGAGGAGGCGCGCCGCCGGGGCTGTACCCGGATCCCACAGCAGTCTGCGGAGGATAGCTAGCAGAGGGATAGCTGTAACTGGGGAGGTTAGAAGTCCCATTGTAGCCCGGGACCAGGGCTGGTGGCGGCGGCGGCGGCGGCGGTGGCTGGAGGAGCCCGGAGCTATGCAAAGGAGAAGGGTGAGGGGAGGGAAGTGCAGGCGCCGGCTGGCTACTGTAAGTAGAATGCAAATACGATCCGTTGTATCCCGGGGCATATTCCTGAGAGGGGAGCCCTGCGTGGAGGCTGGGGACGGTGTGGCTCCCACAGGTACTGCTCGAATAACTCGGCTCGGTCAGGTTGCTGGCCACCCCGGGGGAGCTCCCTATGCTCGCAGAGACGTCGGCTGGAGGGAGGGCTGAACTGACTCCGGCTTTGCTGGCCGCGATAACATCCGGAACACAGTTCATGGGATAAACAGCTTCGGAATTCAAGGAAGGCTGCCAGGGCTCGCTTTCATTTTTCCGACCGTTCACGAGGCCGGAGGGGGCATCCGAGTAGTTGCTGAGGACGGGTCGGTCCACGGGGCCCTCCAAAATGCCAGAATACTTCTCTGCGTATTTCTTGAGCAGGTTGGATGCAGTCAGAGCAGAAATGTCGTCATTTGCCCAGGCGTACTGATAGGTGCGCTGCAGATGACCTCTGTAGGCTTCCACTTTGTGGGCAGGAGACCGAGTGGTTGAGGTGATGTCAAAGTGCTGTTCTGGCCACTGGGCATGCTCCGGCGTCCACTGCATCTTCAAGCCTGCAGGTTTGGGGGGGAGGGGAGGGGGGAGGAAAGTTAATTTACCGAGATACTCGTCAGATGTGCGAGAAAGCTTTTCCCTGCCTTCTTTGGTAACCTGTTACCTTCCATTAATGATGGAGCCGTTACAAGGCGTTCCCACAGTGAGAGCTATCCACTGGGACCTCTACGGTGTGTACACTTTAAAACGGACTGGATTTCAGTCCCGTATAAAAAGGAAACCGAATTTACACAAAAACCCTGCAGAAGACCTCATTCTTTGTTCATTTTTTTAAGTAATAAGCAAATTGATTTCCTTTAAGCTTAGCGAGTTACTCGCTGAGCAACACAGGTACACACACATACACACACATATATATATGTACACACACACTCCCGCCAAATTAGAATCCGATCACAGGTTCTTACAATGAAATATGCATATCTTTTAACTAGGAGGCACGTGATACTAGTAACAGGAGCAATATCGAGCCATCCTGTCTCTTCACATCAGAGTTTCTGTTTTATATTTTAACCAATATAAAAATGAGACACAGCTGACAGATCACATCTAGGACCCCTCTCTTATTTGGTACTGAACACCTAGTTAGCACAGTATAATGCTCCCTGCGCAGAACAATATGACACAGACATAGCAGGTCATTCCATAATCCAACTCTCATCTAAAGTGCTCCACGACAGTTTCAAATCTGCTTCGTGGAGTGCAGCAAAGCAATCTCCCAGGCAGCGCTCCATCGCTTTCATCGCACAAAGCCTACAACTCGGTATGAATTACAACTGGCTCCTTTCTGCCTCTCAGTTCTGTTGTTGAGTCTCTGAAAAAAAAAACAAGCATCACTTGTCTGTCGGTCTTCCAGCTGGCAATCTCCCTCCTTCCTCTATAATCCTTCCCTCTGCTTTACTAAGAGGAGTGAATACATATGCATATATATATATATATATATATATACACACACACACACATACATATATCTTTACGTATACCTATTATGTGTGTTTGTATCTATGTGTACATATATGGGACGAAGAGAAGAGGAAGGAAGAAAGGAAGGAAGGAGGGCAGACGGGCAGGCAGGGAGGGAGCAAACAGGTGAAAGGGAGTATAAGAGGAGAGAAGAGGGAGAAAATGTGGATTCTCTTTAGATTTCTGTGGGAAACAGTGTGTGGCATAAAGTCAAGGAGCACAGCTAGATAATGAGATGCTATGGGTGAGTCGATCACCTGCTAGATTATCAACCGAAGCAAGGTGACTTAAGTAGCAAACTGTAAAACCAGATTATTTTCTCAGTTAGAATCAGAGAATCATTTGAATTTTACAGTTTAAAGAGACTTTAGAAATTACCTTATTTCACAGATTAGGGAACCAGTGCCCAAGGGGATTTAGAACATCCCCTGGAGGACGCACGTACACTTTGTACACTTCATTACAGTAGAGCGTGGGAACCCTGTTTTGCCTCCCAGGGCTGGCTCACCTCATCCTAATCTCTGCTTCATCCGAACACTTCCGATTCCGGTAGGGCTATATCAAATAGGTCTCCTTCAACTCCTTTGTACTACCCAAAGTGAATTTTATAAACCGCCTTATGCCCTCTGGCAGAGATCCCTTGATAAGAAGGGGGCCTGGTCCGAATGAGGCGTCTGTGGCATCAGCTCCCTGCTGAATTACTGCCCTCTCTTTTGACAGCTCCTACACCCTTCCGCCTTCCTTCTCTAACCCCTTTAGCTCTTCATTCCCCGACTCTGGCTTCTGACATGGCCAGCTTTGACTTCCGGAGCTAAACTGAACACAGCCTAGAGTTTGGTAACAGAATGGCATGTTGATTCCCTCCTGACTCCCTCTTCCTTGTTTGCAAAACCACTGCACCAGACACTGGAAGTTAATTAGCAGGATGATGCTGTGCTAATTGTGTTAATTTACAAGGTTTTAGTCAAAGAGAATCATGCCAGGGCTGGCACTGCTGTCATGCTTCCGACTTAATGATTAAGAAATACTGAAAACAAGGTGGGAAGGATTGCAGTAATTACACAATAAATGAATAAAGCAACAGGATTCATTTGCAAATATATTTTACTGCAGTGGTACTCATTTGCATTTGGATTTTTAAAAAGGATCCATGTAGATATTCATTTGCAAATCACCATCTCAGTTAAATTAAGTCTGAATGCTGCACAGTATAACTTAATCAAGCTCTCTATTTTTTTTAATAAAAAAAGGAAAGACCTTACTTCACTTGGATATGCAACAGATTCTTTCTTCAATTTCCTTTTCCTTACTCCTCCCAAATCTTCATATGTTTCTCTTTTAAAACTCGATTTAAAAAAAAAAATAGTATCATCAATTGGAAAAAAAAAAATGTAAAATCCTGATGAAGTACAGCTTGCACCATTTCAGTCCAAGAAAATCTGGGGGTGAGTTCTAGGAGGAACTAAAGTGATATTCTTAATTGTTTCTGCTTTCTCAGTCATTCCTTTTGAAGGGGGAGGGGGAGGTGGGGAAGGAAAACACATCGCAGAATGGGTGAAATGACCGAAACCACACTTAAAGGGGAAAAGATGCAATTTTAATGAAGCAACATTTCAGGAATCATACTTTCATTAAATTCAACTGGAAATTATTAAGAGCAAATCACCAGGAACCAATCGCAAGTAATCAGTATCTAAATTCTTCTTGTGTCATGGGATTTACTTCAAGCCTTATAAAAAGGAAAGAATATTAATGTGACTCTAATGTAGAACTGTCTAAAAGACCTACAAATTCATTAGTCCTGTAAATTATTTCCAGGGAATTTCTATTAGAATTTTTTCTTTAAAAGATTATCAAATACAGAGTCGAGAAAATAAGAATGCTCATATGCTCCGAGTGGACGTTTGATGAGATTGAGACAGAAGAAACATGAATAAATGTCTTGAGAGGAGGCCTCCAAAAACATTTTGGGAGTCATAGGAAATGGAATTTACCACAAACACAACATGACACACATACACACTAAAAGGCATGGCTTCCTTTCGGTTAGCAGAGCTGAGCCATCCTTGGCATAATTAACACACATGACAAACATGATAAAAGCCCATTTAAAAAAATGAAACTGCTCTAGTGTAGAATAATTACTGGAAAAACAAACAAAAAAGGGCACCCTTCCCTCTTACTGGCTTAAAATCTTTTTCTCCTAAGTTAAGCATTTACAAAAGGTGTGCAAAAAGTGGTTTTAGTAAGGTATAATCACTGTAAAAGACAGGAATGTCAAGTTTACATTAAAAAGGTCGGTCATTTTCACTCTGTATGTCTGCGGAGTTTAACCCTAGCAAAACTAATACATTTCCTAAGATTTCTGTTTCAATCTGAAATGAAGCAACGATCCTATCAAAATTACTGACTTGGGACAATTACTGGATATACCGTTACCTTTGGATCCTCATGCTATTTTTGGATGTGCTTACCAAGATAACTGCAAGTTTATTTATTGATGCATACTAATAATCACCTTAGCGGGGCTGCCAAAGGCAAAAGTGAGCTTTGATTAAATAACCTTAAGGGAACAGAATTATTCACATCCCCTGGAACATGAGTACTTATCCTGTGTTTTGAAATCATTAATGTTTTACTCTAATGCATCAGTTAATCGTTAAGCATAAGCTAGTTCTTACTATCAGTAGGAGCTGAAGAAGCTAGGGTGCAGGAAATTGTCCTGGTCTTGGGAGCACAGAGAGCTTTCTCATCAGTCTCTTGAATTTTAATGCTAATCAGAAGGAGAACCAAACTTGTTGTTGTTGTTGTTCTGTTTATTGGTGGTGATATTTCTGGTGTGGAATGGAAGAAAAATGTAGAGCCAAATGTTCTTTGAACAAAAAATCATGCTCCATTTGACTGTACTGCTGTTCTAGACATGTCGGAAGCAGCATGGGCGTGTCACTTAACTTGGCACGCAAATAATAAGGTGGGTTTTAAAAGCAGCTTTTATATGGTTTCTCTCTGGAACATGCAGAGAGAAATCTCAGAAACAATACTGTTTTAGCACTATTAGAAACATGAATCCACAACAATAACTTCCACTGTTGTTTAGAAATAGCTTAAATAGGTCCAATAAAAATTCAGAAAACAGTGGAAAGTAAGAAAAATAGTTCTTAAAGATAATTGAAGAATTGTTCCAAAACATCAATTTTTATTTTTGAAAGGATCAGGAAATTCTTGATATAGCCAGCAAATTTCACAATGCAATGTGTTTGTTTTTAAAATATGTAATTTAATAGAAAATTGCTTTTAAGAGACATTAACATACATTTTTTTACCACAATGAGAGGGACTACGGTACAAAGCCTGAGCATTTGTTATTTCATTGCCATAGAATGAAGTTATGTAGATATAAATGAACAAGTCTGTATTTCCCATAAAACTGGACGGTTTGGATACCACTTTCCTTTCTTATCATTTCTGACCACTTTATAACTCAGGTTTAATTACTAACCAGTTGCGGCCTCATTGCTTTACTTGCTCCATTTTGTTCTTTAACTGTTTTGAAACGACACAACTGAGACATCCTTCGAAGTTCTGTCCTCGCTTCAAAACGATCGAGAAGCTGTTACCCAGAAAAATGAAGAATATAAAAACAACTTTCAGAATGGGAGGAAATCTGAAAGAAGAGAGTAAGCCTCTGGAATCTATTTTTAGCACACATTCCTGGAAATACTAATCTAAGGCCCTCACTACCCGACCCCCGCCCCTACCTAACACCCCGATGCTGCTGAGCAGTTCATTTGGTCTAAAAAAGCGGTTCCTTCTACAAGGTTCACACAGGGTAATTCTGGCTGCTAGGGACTCTGCCCTCATCTGCAGGTTTTCTCACACTTCTAAGGGCGGGACCTGAGGCAAACAGCTGCAGGCCTGGAAGGCTTGCCTGCTCTAGGATAGCTACACATGCTCACACAGGACTGCACGACGTCACTACACCTGTTACCTTCCCTTGGGCCATGGTACCTCTGAACTTTTCATCATGATTTATTTA